ATGGCGTCTTTCTCATCTTAGTAATTTGTATTGAGAGTCTTCCCTGTCTTTTCATAGCTGGGTAGCTAATTTATTTTTAGTGCTAAGTAATGTTTCCTTTTCTGGATGGATCCCGTTTCATTTATCCATTCACCCACTGAAGGACATCGTGGTTGCTTCAAAGATTAGGCAATTATGAATAAAGCTGCTATAAACATTCGTGGGCAAGATTTTATGTGGACATAAGTTTTCAACACCTTTGGGTTGAACACCCCATTTCTGGACTCTCAGTCAAATTTGTTTTGTTTTCTTATTTAGATCTTCTATATCTGTATGTGTTTTGAATTTGGTTGTTATGAATTGAGAGACATAAATTTTAAAAGTACATTTAAGTTGTAAGAAACTACAAAACTGTCCTCTTCCATATGGCTGTACTATTTTGCCTTCCATCAGCAATGAATGAGAGTTCCTGTTGCTCTGTATCCTCACTTAATGTTGTCAATGTTCTAGACACTGGCCATTCTAAAAGGCATGCAGTGGCATCTTACCATTGCTCTAATTTGCATTTCACTAATAACATGTGAGGTGGAGCATCACTTAATATGCTTATTTGCCATCTATCCTTCTAGTGAGGTATCTGTCTAGGCCTTTGGGTCTCTTTTAGTTCAGGTTGCTCATTTTCTTTTTGTTGAGTTAAAGTCTTTGTATTATTTTGGATAATAACCCTTTCTTACGTATATGTCTTGCAAATATTTTCTCCTAGTATGACACTTGTCTTCTTTTCCCCTTGACAGTGTTTTTTACAGAGCAGAAGTCTGTAATTTCAACTCATTTATCAGTTTTTCTTTCATGAATTATGTCTTTAGTATTATTTCTAAAGAATGATCACCAAACCCAAGGTCATCAAGGTTTTCTCCTGATGTAAACTTCTAGAATTCTAATGATTCTGTAGATTACATAGATACATGTCATCTATTTTGACTTAAGTTTTTTGGAGTGTATACAGATGTGTATTTAGATTCTTTTTTGGCATATGGAAGTCTACTGTTCTAACTACGCTTGTTGAAAACACTGCCTTTCCTTCATTGTATTATCTTGTTTCTTTGTCAAAGATCAGTTGACTAAATTTATGTAGATATGTTCTTGGGCTCTGTGATCTGTTCCACTGATCTATTTGTCTGTTCTTTTGCCAATATCACACTGTATTGATTACTGTAGTTGTATAGTAAGTCTTGGAGTCAGGTTAGTGTTAGTCCTGCTTGTTTGTTCTTCAATTCAATATTGTGTTGGTCATTGGGTATTTTGCTTCTCCAGATATGTGCTTTAGAATCAGTCTATCCATATTCACAAAATAACTGGCTGGAATCTTGACTAGAATTCCATTGACTCTTATAGATCAAGCTGGAAAGAAGTGCCATCGTGATGATATTGTCTTTCTATTCCTGAATTTGTACTATATTTCCATTTATTTTATTTTTTTATTTCTTTTATTAATTTTGTAGTTCTCCTCATATATATCTTGTACATATTATGATACATTTGTACCTATGAATTTCATTTTGAGGCACTCTGATATAAATAATATTGTGTTCTTAATTTCAAATCCCACTTGTTCATTGCTAGCAAATGGGAAAATGGTAGACTTTTCCATAATATCATCTTCTACATACTTGCTTATTAGTTAATTGCTTATTAGTTTCAAGAATTTTGTCATTTTTAATATATTTTTTTGCTTCTTAACCTGTATGCCTTTATATACAATGCATACATATATATACATATATATACACAATACATAGATAGACACATATGTATTTTTAAATTGTTGCATTAGATAGAACTCCCAGTGTGATATTTAAAGGAGTGGGTAAGAGAGAGGATCTGTGCCTTCCTCCTGATCTCAGTAGTAGAGCTTCTAGTTTCTCTCATTGTGTTTTTAAACTAGTATTTGTCATATAAAGTAAATCTTTTGACTTTTTAAATCTTGCATCCAGATATCTTAATTCTTCTACTAGTTATAGGAATTTGGGGGATGATTCTATTGAATTTTTCAGGCAAAAAAAAAATCATATGATATGCAAATATTTGTGATTTTCCATCCTTTATCCTTATTATTGTACAACGTTTTATTTCTCATATCTAATTTTATTGTTCGTACCTCCAGAAAATTGTTTTTTAATGTACTATAAAGGTACCCTTGTGTATTGGTGGGAAAAGTTAGCTTCATCAGTAACTGATGTTAGAATAACAGATTCAGCTGAAAAAAAATACAATGGATTTCTACCTCACTCCATGTAGAAAACAAATTCCAAACAGATTAAAGATTTAAATTTATGAAATTTAGCCATCAAAATAAAAATGCAAAAGGAAAACCGATTGGGGACGTATATGTATAATATATATTATTTATATTCTTCCTCCTACCCCAAATGTTCACCCCACCAGATGCTTCCTAACTATAGCACAATACCCAGAAGCCAAAAAATAGAAAACCACATGTAAATTTTTTAATTTTAAAAAATTTGGAACACAAAGCCAGCATAAAATCAAAACACATGTAATACTTTTTTAGAAGACTACATGTCTCAAAATCAAATTATTAATATTATTATTTTTATTATTCATAGTAAATATTAAAAGACATAAATTTAAGAGAAAGATAAAATAAAAGGTGATGTCCTTTAGGCAGTCACAGAAAAGGAAATAAAAACAGCACTTAAACATATGAAAAATATGTTCCACTTTTCTCATAATAAAAAATGCAAATTAAAACTATAATGCTCCCCCATCTTTGTTTCTCACAGATTTGAAATATTAAAAATATGATATTAATACATTATGTCATGTATTACATGTAGATAAGCAGGCCCTGTGTTACATTGCTATCAGGAGAATGGTTTGGTACAACCTCCATAGTGAGTAATTTTGTAATAACTAACAAATTTAGAGATGCATTCTTTGTACAGCCAAGTCAATCTTTAGATATTAATTCTATAAATATATTCACATTTTGGTGAAAGTATGTGAGTAAAAATATATTAATTGAAGCTTTTTTATAATAGCAAAAGATCAGAAACAATTCAAAATAGCCATGATTAGGGAATTGGTCCAATACATTTATGGCACTTGAATGAATGGAAAATCTTGTAACCAATAAAAGAATGAGTTGGATCTATAAAAACAGAGGCGGAATGAACTCTAATATAGATCTCAAGTGAAAAATGCAAGGTACAAAACAGTATGTATTGTAAGACACTGTTTTATATGTGTTTTAACATAGAATATATACGAGTATACATACACTAATGTGTTCACACACACCGAGTGCATATTTGGAAGACAGGTAACTGGTTCCTTCTGAGAAGGGAAATAGAATACAGGGAACAAAGTGGAGACTTTCCACCATAGTTTCTTTTAAATGTTTAGAATTTATATCATTTATATATATTTTCATCAAAAATCTAATTAATTAAGATAAAAATTGTGTGTATCTACTTGTATATGTATGAATACTTCCTTTATGAGAAAATATACTGTGTTTGTTATCCTTAAAGTTTTATTTCCAAATAAATAAATGCCAGCATTTTGCTGATCCTGTATAGGGAACTCAACTTTTTAGACAGAACATTTGTTTTTCATCGATTTACGGGAAGCCTATCGTTTCAGGTCCTGACTAAATTGCAGGTAAATGTTAAGAACCTCTGAAAAGTTCCCTAAATAGCACAAATTTAGACTTGATTATTCTCTTCTTTCTGGTTGTCTGCTCTGAAAAATATGGTCATAAACCTCAGGGCATTAGGAAACTCCTTGAAATTTGAGGTCCCTGTAGGACTCTCATGAGATAATTATGCCTGCAGTTTTATTTTTATAGTTCATATACACTAAAGATGTAATTAACTGTATCCTAGCTTGTGACCTTAATGAGTTAATTCGGTGTCCTAATAAAATTCATGGCCAAGTAGGAACTTAGACTCTGGGACATTTTCGCTCAGAAATTATCTGTGAAATTTGAGTTCATATTAAAAATCCCTTAAAACAATTTGTTTGGCATTTGGCCTCTGGCATTAGGTTGGGTCTGATTCTGCTATATGGAACTAATAGTTTTGCCTCAGTTCCTCATAATCTGTCTAGCGCAGATTGCTGATTATAGAATCAGCAAGAACATTTAACTATTGCTTCAGTGAAGAAAAATACCTCAATTCCTACTGAATGTATGACACTCTGTCTTCTTTCTAATCCCTTTTCTGTCTCCTGTACCTGTAGAAATCTTCTCTCAGCCTCACCCCAGTCTAGTAATTTCTTTCCAGCCTGATTTTTCTCTCCTCCTTAGTCACATAAATGTCATTTGTCCAACTTTGGAGTGTCTTCTTCCTCATGTGTTCAAGAAAGCTAACTTAGCATGGTTGATGAAGTGGGCGGGTCAGAGTTCTAATCTTCTCAAATGTCAGAATAGATGAAGGCCTACTCAGGACAGTAGTAACTGTTTGGTTATTAAAGCCGGCTCCAGCAAAGTGATCTGATCAGCGTGGCCAGGAGTCCACGCATGTGGTCCGCTAATGTGGTCTAGTGCATTAGCTATTATGTCTTCTCAGAGACAATTCCTTTTCACACAGCCTTGTTACTGAGCCACCCTTTGTCTCGATGGGCATGGTCATCTTCTGGGTGAGCCCCAGAGTGAGCAGCCCACTGGTAGCGTGGTGTCATAGACTAACATCCTTCGCTGAAGGCTGTATTTGAGCTGCTTTTTAAACTCACTGCATAGTTACTGTATCATTAAAGCACAAGAATTCATAAACATGGGTTAGTTAACAAAATTTAACATAGAAAGTGCTTTGTTAAGAATTGTTGGTTAGGAATGACCTTTCAATTTAAAGAGGAAAGAAAAATTTAAACCCCTGAGTTCACATTTCATGAGAAAAATGTATATATATTAACATCCTAATCTTCTCCTCACACTGCTTTTTTTGTAGGATTTTCATATGCAAAGAGTAAATGGTAATTAAAATGTGCAGGATGACAAGATGGAGCAAACAGTGCTTGTACCACCAGGACCTGACAGCTTCAACTTCTTCACCAGAGAATCTCTTGCAGCTATTGAAAGACGTATTGCAGAAGAAAAGGCTAAGAATCCCAAACCAGACAAAAATGATGATGAAAATGGCCCAAAGCCAAATAGTGACTTGGAAGCTGGAAAGAACCTTCCATTTATTTATGGAGATGTTCCTCCAGGGATGGTGTCAGAGCCCTTGGAGGACCTGGACCCCTACTATGTCAATAAAAAAGTGAGTGCTTTTTTCAGCATATTTAGCTGCTAATTGCCTACTACATACCTTGGACTATCGTAGGACCAGCACATGCTGAATTAGCCCAGAGTCTTAAGTAGCCTTCTGCTTAAGAAATGAAAACACAATTGTATGTGTTTTATACATGAGTAGTGAATTGATTATATCATAACATATGGAACTGTCCAAAATGCATTTTGACAAATATCTATACCAGGCTGTAGGCAGTAATTCAACAAATTAAAAAATTCTTTCCATAGAACATATTTTGTATATAATTGTATGTACTTTATGCACTTAAAAATCTTAAAATCCTATAAGTTATAAAGATCTCAGAAAACATTATTATTAATTTCCCATGGACCAAAATTGATCCCACTGAAGAATTTTTTTCATATGAAAAATAACATCTTTCTATAAATTATAATTTTACAAATCATACAAGATTTTGGTAGTAATATACTAATGTTGGTAAGAATTAACAATCCCCATCCATGTTTGCTTTACAACAAAAGATATAAAGATGGATATAAAACAAACTTATGTAAACCTTTTAAAAATACTCTAAAACTGAGGCTGAAAGACCAACTCTGATGGAATGAGAGCCAGACAGATTCTCATTTTGAGGCAACCCTTATAAACTTTGTTAGGCTGACATCTAAACTTACTCCTACAATCCTCTGTCCTTATCTTCAAATGCACATGGTGTAGGAAGGAAAAACACTTCGGCATTTGGGAACAAATCACAGTGTGTAGGTAGAACAACCTGATAAGAGAAACCTTATTATCAGGAAAGAATTTTCCCCAAGGGAAGAAATTTCCCCAAGCACATTTTATCCCTGGCTTTCACACTGAGCTGACATCAAGCAAATCTTAGACTGTAAGTCATTCAACAGTCCTACAAATGAAACGTTTTGCCCAAATGAAATCTTTAAAAGCTAACAGGGTGTTCTTAGAACCTGACCGAGCTAAGTGTTTGAAATGTCCTTATGATTTTATGTTTTAAGTCGTTCTATAAAACGCTTACAACTTTTTAGTCTTAGGTTTTCTTTCATAATTGGATTATTCCAGTCTTGAAGAAAACTCTCAAATTCCAAATTAATTTTTCTGATTAAAGTTGGAATGCGTAGCAAAAATCAACCACTTAAAAATAATGAAACTTTCTTTCAATATTTCATGACTAATTTTATTGTAGTGAACTGGCATATCTGCGATTGGCAAGATGCTCTTTATTTAAACCATGCGGTACCCTCCACAGTGCTCCTGGCACAGCTAACAGTAGAATAGTGGAAATGCCACAAGGGAAGATACTTCCTAGGATGAAATTTTTCACTGTATCTGATATCGGGCATGTGGATTTGGTTTTCCTGAGTGGAACCAACTATGCCAACATCAGTTAGCCAGGGACTTCCCTGAGGGTGAACTCTAATATAATAGTTACGTGTCATTTGTATCAATATAGGAAGCCTCTAGTTGTTTTTTTTTTTATTATTATTAAATCATAGCTGTGTACCTTAATGCAGTCATGGCATACAGTGTGCTGATTTTATATGCAATTTGAAATATTTTCATCAAACTGGTTAACATAACCTTCGTGGCATTTTCTTAGTTATTGTTAAGACATTTATATTCTACATTTAGAAAGTTTCACATGTACCCTTGTACCATAGGTGTGGTCCCACCAATCACCCTCCCTCCCCCCCATCCTCCTCCCTCTCCTTTTTCCCCATAATCTTGGGCTATAATTGGGTTATAACTTTCATATGAAAGCTACACATTAGTTCCATAGTAGGGCTGAGTACGTTGGAAGCCTCTAGTTTCTGTCTTAATAATATATCGAATAAATAAATCACGCTAACTATAAACTTGCTAACAGAATTCATTCTTTATACTCTAGTTAAAGGGAAGTGGTTAACATGCACGGTATCCGTGTCTTTTACAAAGACAGGGTCAGTGAATGACATACAAATGTCACTTTAAATGCTGTATTTTCTGATGGCATATGCCTGTGTATTTTTATCTTCTTTGTCTCAGTTTAAAAAGTGAAGATTACATAATCTTCACCTATTCTACTGAAATTGATAAAGTAGTTTACTACTGTATTAGTTACTGGAAAAAACAGTGACAGCCATCTCATGGGCATCCCAAGGCCTAAAAGCACAGGAGCTTTCCAGCCCCTCCACTGTTTTGAGCCTGTCGAAGCTTGAGGTAAGAATGCATAAAACAGAATAATGACAGTGCTTCGGCTTTCCCACACCATGTTAGCTCTGAGGCAGAGGTCTTCAGAAGATGATTGCAGGCTGCGCTCCTCTTGTTTGTCTGTTTAGCTGTGTAGCCGAGCGCCTTTAGCTTGTGAATACCCCTCTTTTGATTCCACGTGGATGTTTTTTCATCGTTTCTTTTCCTAGCTCGGGTTGATTTTGCACCATTTGGTTCTACGTTCAAATGCTTCCCCCACTCTTTATTATGGAAAACTTCTCTTTTCTCATGTTCTTGTTAAAATTACAAATGACTCATTATTATCGCAGGAGAAAATATCATTTTGGCAAAGTGATAGTTTACTGGAAATAGAATGAGAGATTTTAGATCTGTAGTAAAAATGGATCTTTGTTAATTATGGAGTGTAGAAATGTATTCATTTTTTAAAATGTACTCTTTCCTTGATTGTCCCATGGGGCATTTAAAAATAACCTATTCTCTATCAGCTGTCCTGAAGAGACATAGGCGCCCTCTCTATTGGGCTGCATGAGAAGTCACACATGAACTTGTGATTTCAAATGCACACCTGCTCTGTCATTGCTACAGGAGGTTTCGGCTGTTATGTTTGGTAGAAAGAGTTTTTTGTTTTGTTTTTACTGGGATTAGGGAGAACTACGAGTCACGCAGGCTCTCCCTTACATCCACTCCACCGTGGCTGATTTCAAATCTTTCCGCTCCCCACTTGCATTTCTTCCTTATCCCCCTTCCTTCTTTGTTGCCTCCAAGTCCTTGTCCGGATGATGATGCTGGTCAGTAAAATACCAGTTAGCATCCATTGGGACCTGACAGGAGGAACAGATGCTTCCACTGAAAGTGACCAAACCAACAGAAACTCCTTGGGGGTAGAAGGAAAAGGAAACGTGTGGGTGAATCCGGTTTCCGCATCAAAGGTCCATACCTAAAATGACATCATCAGGGCAACCCCTTTTCTATTTTTGGCTCTGTTTCACCTGTGCTGGCTGCACTGATGAGCTGGCTCTTCCACAGGATGGCCAAAATAGCTCCCAGTAGCATAAAAGTAACCGCACACAACCTAGTCATCCCCCAGGAAAGGGCTGACGTTTCTTCAAAAGCTCTAGCAAAAATCGTAGAATTGGTTTTAGTTAGGTCATATGCCTCCTTTGAACCAGTCACTGTGGCCAAGGGTATGTGATGGTCTCCTTGGCCCCATCAATATCACATGCTGACCAGCGTGGCCAATGGGAGGGTCAGCTCCACCTAGTCACACAGGCAGATAATGGGGCAGAGTTTTTTTTTCCAAAAGGATGATAGAGAATAGGGATTGTCAGAGAAAGCCGAGTGATAGGCAGGTTGAGACAATATGTGTCAGGATATTTACCACTGTTATTGAAGTCCCATGTTCTTCGAAGATAGCTCTTTAAAAATAGTGAAATGTAGCTGAAGTAATTTGCCTAAGATCACAAAACTATTAAGTAACAGAAACTAGATTTAAAACCAGATCTCTGAGGTTCCGTGTCCCATTGCCATGTTACTTTGGGTTTGCAGTGGTAGCAATAAAGATAGCAGTGGAAAAGAGAAGTCACTAGTAGAATCTGAATCAGCCCACAGCTTGTCCTTCTGCGCCCCTACTCATGCTATGCTGCAGGACGTAGTTCTTGTCTCCTAAGTGGGCAGTATGTCCCAAACCCTAACTTGTCACTTTGCCACGTGGGTATTTCCTGCCTTTGTAAAAACTAAAATCTCAACGTTGTGGATCAGCTTCTAAAATAATAAGAAAATTGTATGTCCCACCAGATTCTAATAGAGTGATAAGTACTTTTTTTTTTCAAAGAAGATCAATATAGGAAACTCTAATTGTGTGCCCTGTAGGGAGATGGAATTGAAATTGAGATCTGAAGGCAGAAAAGGAGAGGAAAGAGAAGAGTCTTCCAGGGAAAGGGGGCAGCACAGAAAACATAATAGAGCTGGTCTGTGACACGTAAGAAAGAAATAAGATGACGTTGGGGAGGTGGCCGTCAGCCACGTGAAGAAAGACATTTTTTAGTTCACCTTAAAGAGTTTGAAGTTTATTTTCAAAGGAAAATGAATTCTCAAGAAGTCTTTGAATACTTAGTGTACCAGCTCTATAGTCCACTTTACATCGTTAGACATCACTCTAGCTTCTCTCGGGAGTACAGATCCAACCAACTGAGAAGAGAAAACTAAGTTTGGAGTCTGTATGGAGGCTTGGGCTAGCATCTCTAGCAACAGAGATGGAGAACAATGCATGAATCAGAATCTGCTTTGGCGGTATGAGTTTTAGGTGTCAGATTAGAGAAAATCAATGGCTTTATTTTCTTAGATAGGAAGTTTGGAAGGAAAGATGGGGAACCTGAAAATTCCGTTGTGAAAACGGTGCTGCTTTGAGGACCAGAAACGTTCCTGTGTGTGTATTTAAGAGCTCGACATACAGAGACACGGTTTTACTATTTTAATCCTGTTTTTATTGGCATTTTAGAATCCACTCAGAGCATCGATATGCTTTATTTCATTCCATCCTCTCAAGAGCCCTAAGATTGGTAAAATTATAATCTTCTCCATTAAGATATAGAAAGTGAGGGAGAATAATTTGCTCATTGTTCTCACATGGAAAGCTCATAGGACTCAAATTTGTTCTTTCCAGTCAAAGAAAAATTAACTGAGCGTACAATAGTGTGCCAGCCCCGTGGTATTACTGATGGTATATGGCTGGAAATTATTTTACCTCCAGATTGAATCATTTTGTTTGTAGCTTCTTCTCT